TGGTTATGTCAGTTACGTAAGAGTACACGAGAACAGGATAAATATCAAGTCTATTTCAAATTCCAAGTCGCAGTTTCCCAACATGAAGAGTCATGTGTTGTGTAACTACTTGGAGCATTGTGACGTCACGGCCAGAGTTAACAGTTACCGTTCAGTTTACCTGATGATGGGGCCAGAACAAGCCCTGAAACGTTGTACTCGAGAATAAAAAGAAGATGTAACCCAGAAAAATCTCTATGTTCATATCCGAGATAGTTCGAGATAAGCGCGGTAGCGATATCAGTTGACTAACATCTAGTCTTTGAAATGAACATATTTTACACAAAGAGGCTTGTAACGCTAAAACTGCCATCAAGGTATATACTGTCACTGACGGGGGTCTTAGTACTACAGTATATAGAAGGTCCTTTTATATAGGACCGCCTGCGTGGTGTAGTGGTTAGAGCGTCCGCCCGGAGAGCGGAAGGTCGCGGGTTCGATCCCCGACCGCGTCATACCAAAAGACGTTAAAATATGGTGCTTGTTGGTCCCTGCCTGGCGCTCGGCATTAATGGGTACAACAAGGACTGGTCGGTTCGGAGTCAGTATAATGTGTCTGAGTGGGCTTTTCATACTTCACTGCGGCATGGTATCTCAGTGGGCTAGCACTATAAAACCAGCTTCAGTCTGGGCTAGTACAAGCAGCCGCACATGCACATACACACGCATGCACGTCGTCATATGAGCGAAATATTCTCAAGCACGACGTTAAACTCAATTTCACCTCACCTCACCTTTTATATAGTACTAAGACCCCGTCAGTGACAGTTTATACCTTGATGGCAGTTTTTAGCATTACACGCCCCTGTGATTTTACAGAAAAACGGTTCATAAATAATAATAATCATAAATATAATGAAAAGGAGTTCAGAGACTTTTTTCATTTTCAGAAACTGTGGTAATCGAGAATGGCCATAATTTCTAGCCCAAAGTGCTGACGAGTATTGAGGATATGGGAAGGACACTATTCAGCGGTAAATCGACATAATTGTTTTCGAGTTAACCAGACCTCGAGACATGGCTATTTGTATTTGAATCAACTTACAACAGCATGGCTACTGTAAGCCATCGTGGCATTTAACAGAATAAAACAAAGATGGCGATTGAAAGCATCCAACAGATCACGTTTGTCTTCACAGAAAACAGCCAGCACCTACATAACGTCAGAATACAATTCCTGGTCCGCATCTGGGTATAATTTTCGTAACAACCCATCTCAAAACACAAGTAACAAATACCGGAATATGAAATAAAACGATCGTGGATTTACAGCACATGTAATTCATTTCTTATTCTCATTTGTCCTCCATAACATGAATATTGCATTGCGCAACCCATGTGACTACTGTTATATCGCATCGCTGTGTGATTCACGCGTATACAATGCATCTAACATATATGTGGCAGTTGTAATAACTCCCAGTTTTTTTCAACATCTGTTGGTAAAATATACTGGATATACAACGGTACAACCTGGGGCGGTATACACATCACATTGCGTGCTGTATCGATCGCGCCGACGCTCCTACTGCGATATTAATTGAATCCTTTGCACGATTTAGGTGACCTAGTTTGAGGGCATCCGTGCTGCATGTATTGATTGGCGTGTTGTCATTAGCAAACCACGTGACCTGCCGAAGATAAGCTCGTGAAGACGGAACGGCATAATTCACACCTGTCGATATTCTTCGTTTAATGTTAGTTTCGTGTTTCATATATCGTTGTGTTCATGTTCATGGAGGTATCATGAAATTGTCATGGCAACGTGAGGAATAGAATATTAATGTTCAAATAAGGAGGGTATTCAGTGTTTGCGAATCCCTACGACGTGTTTAAGTCCATATCATGCTCAATATTGACGTTGATTATACACAGCATGTGATCATGTGATCAAATTGACATGCACTTTTAGCAGTGGAACCTTTTAGATACAAGCCCTGGTTAATCTGGAAACTTGGGGATAATCATATGTGTATAAAGTGAACCTCTTTACTCATGCATCGACATTACTCTGGGCTCGTTAATACGGACATTTGTTAATCCGGCCGGTCAGTTTCATCCATTACAAATCGTCCGGTTTAACGGGGTTTCACAGTATTGTGAAACTTATTTGATCGCGATTTATAAACGATAGCAATACACGTATTTCAGGATGATTAAGTTTAAACCTATCCTCAGTATTCCGAGCATTGTCAGACAGACAATAACATATGTTCATATAAACACAACCCTTTGGGATTGGCTACTTGATTCAAATGCGAAAGCACAAAGTGAAAAAAAACAACGTGACAATCGTTTAACCTTGGTGTCCTATTTCAGCATAGAACGCTCTGCCATTGTCCTACAGCAGGTATATTCGCGTTGCTATTCAAACTCACGAGACCGTCAATGCAGATATGGTGAACAGGGGCTTTGAAGCGTTACCCTTGACAATGGACCACCCGACGAAAACATGTCATGTCGAATGACGAGGCGGTCTCTTCGTTTTGTTTGTTTGTCGTTTTCATCGCAAATATAGGTCAAACAGAAAACGGTAACAGGTATCACGTGACTGCCTTTTGAATGACTAATGGGATTTTTTTATCAGAGGCTTAATGCGGTGAATGTGAGCGGTGAACGAGATGTTTGATCCTGGTTAGAATGAGACGGTAGGATGAGATTTACGCTTTACGTAAATCGCCCGTGATGAAATAGTTCCGCGAAAATGAGTTTATTCCAACTTTACAGTTTGTCCATTTTGAACATTTCTTTCAGTTTTCAATATACAGAGATCTATATATCAGCAAATATTACGACGTACGGACAGTTACTATTACGAATCTCCGACACAAGCGTACACATGACCGCTACTTTCATCTTTTCCGCTCCACCGATTGTGTACGTTTAGCTATACTCAATTACGTGTGACCTAATTACATATTTCATTATACATTTTACAATTGGTCTGTTATCATGAGACTTGAAGCCAACGGTCACATATCGGTTTCCCATTTCCAGCAATGTTCACTTTTATCGTTGTTTTATCATAACAAATTGATAATCGCTCAATTTCATTTGTTGTCTGTTTACCCAGGTCTCCCGATGGGTTGGCGAGCGTGCCATACGCGCCACCAGTCATGACGTAGAGAGCTATTTATATCGTGACCTTGCCATTGGCATGTGAAAGGTTTAGCGCCTATGTTCCGGAAGGCATTAATCAAGCTGTCTGTAGAAAGATGGAATAAAATGCTCATAAACTGTCGACATGTGTCAACGGACAGAAGCCTGTAGACGTGCCACCGAGTGTGGAAACACAATGCACCGTTATCCAGAAAATCGAATACATTTCTAAAACACCTCGCTTTAGTGAGTCTGCACACTACCGTTACGCCGGAGACATCGTAGAGTGCAAACCTCGAGTGATGGATCGCCTATACTCCAGGCTGAAAAACTTCACTGATATATCAAATGTCTAGAATATGTCGCAGCGTACTTGTGTTGCAACAATACACACTAGAAAATGATGGCGTCGGGGACAGATAAAATGACCTCGCAATTCATAAAATTGAAAACCAACTGACTTTGTCCAAACAGTAATACATACATAACGCCCACAATGTACTAGTCATTAGCTAACACTGCAAATAAACACATATTTATCTGTTATTAGTTACAAAGAACTACATAGAGCTATAGCTACCCTATTATTCGACGTGGACATTTTAACCATAAATTGTATATTCATACACTTATCCTATCTCACGTTTAGCATCCATCGCGTGAGTTTGGATGAGTTAAACATTTAGAAATTTTAACTATAAATTAACTATAAATTGTATATTTGTACACTTATCCTTTCTCACGCAATGGATACTAAACGTGAGATAGGATAAGTTAAACAAATTATAATCTCCAAGTCCTCAATGGGTCATTAATGAAAAGGTAAGATTTACAACCCACTGAATGAAAATTTATACATTCTCACCTCTGACTGATAAGGTAAATTAATATTAAATTATTTTATGTGGATTACCGTCAGGTCACGTCAGTTACATATTGTAACTCAATGTCACGCGCTAATTTCCTTTGTGTAATTTCCTTACATTTTTGTTACATCAGGAAATGATCTGGCATGATCCGAACATCAAAACGGGCAGATATTTATATCCTACTGCTACGTACGGCGGTATGCCCTGTTTTGTTTAAGCTGTCCCTGCGCTGATAGTACACGGGAGTTTTGTCGAACGTCAATCTACCAGTACAGTACTGTACCTCGTCTGTACCAACGCTTAACCTGTAATCAGCGTCTTGCCTACTTGAACATGTGTACGTGTCCGCGCGCACTTTCCTTTGCACTGAATAACACGTGAGTGATAGTCTGACTTAACTCTGCTGTTATCTAAATGTTGAGGGCTTGGCTTCGAGCCAGCACGCTATCGCAGTGTAAATGGGTTATCTGGAATGTCATAATTCCACGCAGTTGCGAGCGAGGAAAACGTTATCGAGGGAAAATTGTGACCAGCTACGTACGCAAGTTGTTACTATCGGCCTCTCTCAGTTTCACGCTTGTCACGTCAAAGACCCGGGTTTGATTCCCCACATGGGCACAATGCGTTAACCCATTTCTGGTGTCCCCCGCCGTGATATTGCTGGAATTTTGCTAAAAGCGGCGTAAAACTAAACCCATTCACTCAGTTTCTAACTCCCAATTATAAATATATTTTCAATTTTGTTTAATTTTCTCAACCAGTGGGATTGTACATAACCGATATTTTGTAATTGGTGTCTGGCACGGATTGATGCTTTAGCTATTTTCGTGTCATCGTGCCCCGATCACATGACACGATGCTCCCGATGTTAATCACTGGCTTGACTAGTCACTACAGACCGACAAAACATTGAACAGTGAATATTATCTGTCTTGCGAATTTCATCAGTCGCGTTGGTTGGGAATGCAGTGCCTATAAATAGAAATCACTAACCTCGTATCCCAGGCGGGCTGCACGGTGTAATAGGGTCTCCCCAGAATTCTTGTTGATGGCCAGTTTCTTCATTTCCGGCGGGATGGGATATGACACCACACCTCCGTTTGGGTCGTCGGACTGAACTAGGTAGGTTGTAGATTCCTCGTCATCTCCAAAATGCTGAAACATGAGTTTGAAATGAGGTGAGGTGAGGTGAGGTGAGGTGAAATGGAGCTAAACGTCGCGAAAATATATAGTACTTTTATAGCGCATGCGCGTATCTGCTTTAGTCGCATTCTTTTCCGATAATATATAGTGACCTAAATTTGATACCACGCAGCAACTAAACCTGGATACAGTAGACCAGTCGTTGTTCCATTCCTTTTTTTGCCATTATCACATCTTTTGACGTTGTTGGATTCGAACAGGAGCTTGAATTTAACTTTCGTTTTATTTAAAAGTAGGCCTATATGTCACACAGAAGCATTATGACAAAGGAAAAAAACACACAACAGACTCACTGCGAAAGAATCATCCAACAGATCTCCTTCCGATCCTAAATCCTGTCTCAAGAATTGTTCAAACTGACTTTGAAATTTGCCTTTGTTTTTCATCTTTCCGCGGGGCCTAGCCTTTCCGCGGGACTGTTTTGTTGACGGACGCTCGCAATCAGGGCCGATGAATTCTTGCACATGTCTCGCACGGCGCCCTCTAGTGGGCAGCGTATCCTGTCCGCTTCTGTAATACAGTTTCATCATCAAACCCCCCTTACTCCTACCCACAGTCTGACGTTGACTTGACTTTGAAATTTCCCAGCATCCATCAGTGTCGTCGTCATCTTCGTCGTCATACTCCTCATCTTCCGGATATGACGTATCCTGTCTAGTTACTCTGCGCAGGCGCGCTCGCCGCTTGGCCCGGTTCAACGCCCTTCGAGACTCGTCCTTCCGGAGTTCCTTCTCATAAGCGGCATTTCTGTTGTATTGCGTGACACGCCTCCTTCCTGTAAGATACAACGATAAATACATAATACAACTTCAAATTTCACGAGGACATACAAATAAAGGAAGAAGTTAAAAAAGACGGCTAAAATGTTTTCGAAACGTATCGCATGAGATTTTCCATGGAAACACGCAGTTTATGTATGTCTAACACACTTGAAGTTGAAAAAAAATGAACTCATCAATTTTACATGAAACAGCATCAAATGGGGTCACACACGGAATCACTAAACACCAATCAACCTTGACATGCAGGAACACAACAGAGAAGACAATACACTTGGCACTACTTTAGAACCACAGCGTACACTTTAATATTGAATGGCGGCGTTATGGGAAGTATCCCCTTCAAACCCATAAACCACATGCACCCGAACACAATTTACAAACACAATACCATGCCAAAATGAGTGTTGAAATGCACATTATGACAATGAGTTCTGGTATCCCCATAAATGTTCTGACAGTGTACAGGGTAAATAGCCTAAGCCGTTTTGACATATATTACAAGAAGTTCATGGTAATGGGCACTTGTTCGTGTGACGTAACAGGAAATGTTTGCGTGCCAACATGATTTCTGTTGATGCCAATATCCAATTTCTGTACACAACAACGTAAACGTTTAAAGCTGCTCGTAGGCAAGTAGCTCCATAACATTGCCCTGTGGGGGTTCCAAGCCGAGTGTTATTGCAGTTTTATGTTTTTCTCGGAAGGCTGTTAATGGGGATTGGATGGCAATAAAGGCTGCATATTTTGGATTTTTGTGCCCTGGTTGAAAGCGTGTCATCGTGATCTCATGGCTTTGGGGTTGACCTCTTGAGCGTTGGTTTACCGGTACTGCTTTGCACGTATTCATATTCAAGTGGAGGTACTCAGTATTTCATCCCAGTTGAATCCCCGATAAAGAGAAATCAGTTGGCCAAAATGGCTGACTTTCATACCCAAAAAGCGCAAAGGGCCTTTGCGCTTCCTGTGGCTTAAAAGTACATTCATCCACACTATAGTTCCACCGTGATACGCTAGGTGATGTACTGCAGACAACGGCGTTGACGACGTCTCAACTTCAGCATCAGCAAAGGATGAGCCCGAGGCTTACCTGTGCACCGATTCCGTGTTCTCGTCTGTAGAACCAGTGGCTGAAAATCTGTAAAACCACAGTGAACCAACGGAGCACGTATAGGCCTCCTCCTAGTGCCTGCAAAGGATATTTATTGTGTTCGTGACCCCGGGTCTATGTACCTACTTTAAGCACTCATACCTACATTAGAAACGGGGGAAGGGATTAAGCTTGTTCCATATGTTTGTGTATGTTGGTGATGAAAAAATGTGATCGTGACTACGGACATAAAAGCATGCACAGCCTGCTACAATAGCAATCCTCGTTCAGGGCTGCTGTCGTTTCTGCACTGGTTGTGACGGAATTTTAAATGATATATTATCCATGACACACTGAGTTTGGGCAGCGGAGCGTGCTCTGATCGAGGATGCTAACAACTTTTGCGATGAACATGCAAGCGGTAACCTATAATGGGATTGCACAAATTATATATACTGGGAATGGGATGGACAGATATAAGGATTGCGTGACTGGAGTGCGTATATATAATCCAAGGGTAGCTTGCACTAACAATAGGAACACCACACCCAGCAATATCGTATACCATTAACGAACACTGTCCAAAGAATGTCTATTCACGTTTTACATATATTTTACCATACGGTGTATGAATTAACTAACTAAATTTTTAAATACTAATGTCTCACACAGGTCTGCATTAAAGCGGATTCCCACTGAATAGAAATTAGATCTGATTTGTACATAAATGTTCGCATTAAACAATATTGAATTAAATTAACGTTAAAACTTATTTTAATGTGACACGCTACAGGAGCAAAATGGAAACAGAAAGTGTAACAAGCACAGAACCAAGCAACACGCCGAGTGATTTTCACAATCGAGACACGACGTCATCAACCACCATTGGTCTTACCTCGTCTACGGGGGCCATCGATGGCTTTCCTCTTCAACTCTTGAGCCTACAAAACACAATCACACTGATTTATTTAAATCATAGGGACAATAGGATGTCCTGATTGTCTGGGTTTTTAAAAACTTTGCATATATAAAATGAACACACACACACATCTAGAGACAGACACACACAGACACACACACATGAATAAACATCATATCATTTTCAAAAACTAAGAGTAATGTTATGTAAAGACGGTACCTGCGAGACATATATTATTTGTTTTTTGCTCATACATGTTGTTGGGTTTTTAAAGCTTCGAGGTATGCAGAACCTCGGATATGTCCAAATGTGAGGTGATGCCGTATTTTGTGTGTAGGCGAGCACGACGAATACATGATATGCATAAAAATATATAATGGCCATCATTCACATTTCCAACGCGTGATTGCTGATGACTCACCATGAATATTAAATATAGTTTTGTCGATTTTCGAAAATCACTTTTTCTGCCAAAAAACAAACGGAACTGTAACCAATATGCATGAAGATATCGTGATGTTTCAGTAGCAGACGATCGCCAAGCTCCTTGACAAGGATGTCTCATGTTGGTAGGCAGTTTCTTATTCTATTACTGGATAAGCTTAATCTAGTCTGAGGCTGTCTCGTGTACGTCTGATCGTATTTGTGGGTTGTGTTTATAGGACCAAACCAAGACAAACCCTTCTGCTCAGGTTGGACAACGTCCTTCTCGTCGGGGATGGAGGTTGCTCAAGTCGAAGACGACTGTCTGCGCTGTCTTCGATCCTGTCAATCTTTATGACAGCTCGCTGAAATTAATATTGATATTTAGAAGGCAGAGATAACCAGAGCACTGAGCTTAAAGAAACAGGGACGCGGAACCAGAACCACGCATCGAATTGGGTGGCATATTCATGGTGGATCGTCTGATATGATATATAGCGCATTATTCATCTCCTGGTGGTGTGCGTAGCCTACAAACGGCTTGTGCAGCCTAAAGAGTCTTTGCCAAATCAATGGTTATATCTTACGATGATGTCGTGCGCAACCTTCCACGCAGTGGGCGTCACCGATTCTGACCACCCGACTATTTCGTCGCCTGTCACAGTATAGGTCACGTAGGCTCCTAGTCCGGAATCCCAAACGTGTAATAATGAGTGAATATTGTTTTACGCCATAGTAACTAACATTAAACTTACATTAAACAGGGACATGGAAAGCAACTTAAAACTATCAGTTAATGCGAATAAGAGTAAAGAAATAGCCTACTTTTCAAAAACTGTTTTGTTTCAAAAACTGCAGTTTTGGGGTGTTTTTTCTGTTTTACCCTGAACTGATATCCTATCTTCATGAATGATTTCTATTAATAACGTAATCTGAACCAGACAATCCAGTTACTGACACCATGAGCATCGACCTACGAGGTTGGGTTGACATACGCCAACCAGGTCAGCGAACCTGACCACCCGGTCCCTTCAGTCGCCCTTTCGGACAAGCATGATTGTAATCAAGATTTCATTTTGTGAAACCCATGGGTTTGTGTGTGGTGACGACAATCAGTCGTCATCAGCATAGTGAAGCGGTAATCACTAGGTTAGAACACGCCTCAGAGGTACCCATGAATTTGGGCGCACTGGACCACGGAGGTAGAGAATAGGTATTCATAACTGATCATGTTGAACAGAATACTCACCCGTAGTGGTCTTTCCTGCCTTGCAACGGTGGTTGTCTCCTTCTTTTTGGTCGGTTCTGCTATGATTTCCTTCTGTGTGTTGTGTTTGTCCACCTCAAATCCTTCTGAGTCTCCTGCTTCTTCCAGTAGTTTGTCCTTTTTAGAAATCCGCACCTGTTTCCGCTTTGCCTTTGGTGGCTTCTTCACAGGAACCTGCTTCTGTCGTGGACGAAGACCCTGCTTCTTGTAGTTCCTAACCAAGGATGCTTCTTCCATTTCATGTATTTCCGTCGTAGCCTTCAGAAGCTTGTACTTCAGAGGGGCTGCCAGAAACTTGAGTTCTTTCTTTCGTGGGGTCGTTTTACTCAACTTGGCAATCTTTCTGATATACTGACTAGATCGCTTTTGCGATGCCTTTGTACTGTCCTGCTTTTGTTTCTTTGTCGGAGTGGATTTTGACTGTTTGTTTCCATTCCTGGTGTTGGAACTCTCTTTGTCTTGACGTACTCCTTGACTAGAAGATGATTCATTGTTCAGACTGTCCTCTGGAAGAACTTGGGTTGAGTCGGAATGTACTCCAATTTGGTCCTTATTTGAATGAACAAAGGGCGCAACGTTGGCAACGGGGATATTTTTTTGATACATTGATGGCCTCTCGGGCAACGAATTCCTTCTCATAATCTCCGGCCGTACATATTTCTCACCGGGCCTCACCTGCCCATCAGCTGTTGCTTCAGCTGAAGGTGGAGCAGGTGGTTTTAGGAGAATCTTTGAACCATCCTTCTCCTTCACAGCTTTATCTCCTTGCTGTGCCCTCTGAATGTTCTCCCCGCGGACTCCAACAGCGCCAGGAACTAGTCTATTCTTAACAGGAGTTGCTGGAGGATCAAGCTGCGGCGGTTCATTGTGTAGAGAGGCATCCTCGGGAGGGGGAATTTTATCGTGTGGGCTAAGAATTGGCATTTTAGGAGAAGCTGGACTTGATGGGGAAATCGTTGGCATCTTGAACACACCGTCCATAGTACGATGAACGTGATGAGGAATTGAGCTAGGTACGTGGGTTGCCACGCGCTTCTGATCTTCGTCTTGGCCAAAAGCATTTAGTATCCTGTGCTTTTTGGACAATATTTTGTGTGGTCCAGGACGAGGGACGGATTTCGGTGCAGGTTTTTGGCTTTGGTCACTATTGCTGGTGGATGTCGGTATAGCTATTGTCAGTGGCTCAGTGTACTTGGCCATGTTCATTTGTTCATCCTTCTGTGTTTCAGCAGCAGCAGCAGGCTGAGGTTGGGACTTCTGAGAAGGGGCTGCAGTCACACCTGTGATTTGAATTTCGGGGGTAGTTTGAGAGGCCTCGGGTCTCTGAACTTCTTGTTGTTCTGACACTGGGGGCTTGTACAGGGTTGTGCTTATAACCTGAGACTTGGGAACATTCCTCTTATCATGAGTTGTAACAATGTATCCATTACTACTAGGTAGCTTCATTTCATAGGAAGGCTTAGTTTGAGTAACATTTGAATGAGATCGAATTGATTCATGATATCTACTGTCCACAGATCTCTGCTCTTCTTTCTTCTGCGGATAGAACGCTGACTTGGTTGCAACCATGCTCTGACTGTAGAGAGGGCTAGCTATTGTACTTTGAGAAGTTGGTTTACTGTAATACTGATTCTGTGGAGGTCTCTGTGGCTGTTGTTGTTGCTGTTGCAGTTGTTGCTGCTGCTGAGCAGGAGGTGGCGGCTGTTGATGATGATGCGACATCGGGTGCTGCATGAGCTGATGTTGCTGCAACGATCTTTGATGAAGCAGCTGTTGTTGATGTTGCTGCTGATGTTGCTGATGTTGTTGCTTCTGCATTGAAGGATATATTGGATGGTGCGGCTGAGATTTATGATTTGAACTGGAACTGACGCTACTCTGAGACCCTGGTTGCCTTTGATGACTGGTCTGAGATGAAATATAGCTACTGACAGGTTTTTGATAGGAGTTTGTAGTATGTATATCATTCTTTATTCCATATGAGGATGATGTGTTTTGGCTATAGGACATGGCCCTTCTGTAATCGGATGCGTCAGCATAAGATCCAGTAGCCTTGGCATACACAACACTTTGACTAGAAACATGGAGATGAGGAACAGTTGTCTTTTGTGGAATCTGACTGGGGTATGCATTTATTTCAGGAGGTGAGGGATAACATGTTTTTTGTTCCTCGTATTTTGGCTGCAGACGAAGAGGCGATTTAACTGGCCCTTGGTTCTGGAAACCTTCAACTTGGGAAACATTTGAATCATGCGCCGGATAATATATATTCTGTATTTGCTCTGTCTTTGGCTGACTATGTTCAACTTTAGGTTGCACGTGTCTTTGACTTTGATAAGCATACTTGTTCCCTTTCATATACACATTACTTTGGCAAATATTCTGCTGTAGCTTGATATCAAACATTTGATCAGTTTCAATATCATATGTGTATTTTTGTCTTTGAGGTGCTGGAGCAGTCATTAACACCTTACTGCCTACCTCTTTAGACCGTAGATCCACAGGAATATCGGCTTTGACACACGGTTTCTTCATCGGAGGCACTCCTCTGTTATCTGTTTCGGACAATCCGTAGTCTATCGCAGTATCTACACATCGCTTTCTAGTTTTAACTGACAAATCTAGGGGGCTTTCAGAAGCAACCCTAGCGCTCAGGCTATTATCAACACTAGTCAAATCTAAAGGCATACCAGTCTGTATAGATCCACTTTTCACAGGCTGCATCACATGTTTAACTGGTGGTTCTTTGGTCTCTGTCCTCCTCGGAGGGTAATCCTGCCCACGAACACTCACACCTTGGGATGACGTCAGTGGTCTAGCGCTCTGGTTGCTTGGCACAGAATACACACTATGACGCTTGTCGCCACTGTGGGACACAGGGGCGTGTTGGCTGCTTGGATTATAGTGATGGTGAGACGAGTGGGGTGTGTTGGGCATTTGATTTGAGCGTCTCAGAGCCTCGGAAGAAGCTCCAGATGTTTGACTGTAAGACATTGGGATGGTGGATCTCGGGATCCCGTAGCCACTTTCACTTAATACTTGACGTTGTTGAGAACCGGTGGGACTCTGAAGAGGCCCGTATTGATTTGACTGACCCTGGTAGCCCTGTCTGATAGGGGAATGTCTACTCATGGCATGCATTGCACTCTGTATGGAACTAGATTGCACAGGCATCGGCATTTTCATTGTCTGGCTTGCTGGAGTCACTGCACTAGAATGCGGGTATCCAGATTGTTTAGGCGACTGTGATATGCTGCTCCCCGTCTGATAGCCCATGGCTACGGATCCCGGATACACCGACCCGGACGACCTGGGGCTAGGAACAGAGCTGTGTTTATCCACAGTTGCAGCTTCATGTATATGCTGCCTATAGTCAGAAGACTGTTTTAACTTAAACACGCCAGTTAATCCACCCCGATTCTGAACGCCACTTTGAGGTATTCCAGTTTGTATTGAACTAGGGTATCCTGAAATAAGTCCAGAGTCGATGGCTCCAAGCTGTGAAGACTGAACACGTTGTTGACCAAGAGATGGGTATCCAACAGTGGTCAACGGTGGAACTCTCTCGGGTCTGCTCGTCAAAGGTAAACCATTTTGTATAGACCCGCCTCCATACGAAGACACATGGTTCTGGCTTTCCGCAGAGATGGCACTATTCACTGAAAGACTTTGAGGTTGTACGGTTCCCGAGTGTCCTGAATGGGATCGTGGGAATCGAGAACTGGCCTCCGAGGATACACTGTTGCCATAGTAATACAATGAGCTGCTCTGTGACGTCAGGGTGGAATTATGTCCTTGAGTTGAGGCATATGCAAGTGGTGGGACAATCTTAGACTGAGTCACCCCGGGAACAAGCGTACCCCTGGATAAGGAAGCAGTCTCAGGGTGCGGCTGTTGTATAGGGTATCCTGGGTATTGAGCTTTCCGCTGATCCACCATTCCCATGGCCAACGGTGGTATGCCTTTACCTTGTTCCTTGTGATTATACATCGTGGCGGCTATCTGAAACAAGGAAATTGACGGTGACTCAATGAACGGTAATTTTCGTGACGAGACATCTGGCACATGACAATGAAATATTGACGAATTCTTTGAGTCTTCCTCAACTGATATTTTAGTGTAAGCTTATCATTCGTACTGGCATGCTTACTTTTCGTCCATATGGTTCGGACTCGAGAACCGAATACGTCGCACATATAGCAATAGACTCACGTCCATCATTAAGCATTTCCCACTTGCGTCTAACATAAGATACATCTGCGACCAACGTGGCTGTTTTTTTTAATTGAAACCGAGTCCTGGTCATCGTGTGTTGACGGGTTTCACACCAAGGGAGATTAAAATCAAATGAAGGATGTTTAGTCCATGCCATACTGTCATTCAGGTTACAAATTGGATACTAACTGTTAAGTCTATTCCTCTACAGATCATGACGGGCGTAAATCTCTCTCTCTCTCTCTCTCTCTCTCTCTCTCACACACACACACACACACACAAATGCGTACAGACACAGACAGATAGACATACATACATACATACATACATACATACACACACACACACACACACACACATACATACATACACACACACACATACATAAAACATTTTGTAGAACACCATCCCAAATCATCATATATCATCAACATTATACGTACACACACACATGTGAATAAATATATATAATATGATCCTATATATATTCCTTAAAGAGATATATAGTTAGTGACTATAATGTTATTTTAACAATGCGGAAGTTATTTGACAGATATATTATAACATTGATATTCACAACATGCCCTTAATTCACATCCCCGTGCTTCGAATATCAACACCAGCTCCACGTTATCGTCTAAAGTTACACTCACTTTCAGATATGGTTAATTCTAATCTTACACGCTCGTTTAATCTAAAATGATGAATTGCTGCAGTGATCAATAAGTACCATGAGCAAGCTTCACAACATATATATCGGAACAACGAAAGATGAACCTTTCAGAGACACAACGTACTCACCGGGAAGACGCCTGCCGATAACAACGCCACACAAATTAGATCACTGACAATATTCAAGATTCAAATTATGACATATTTCCGGCTTGTGTAACGACACCAGCGTTGTCCCTTGCCGAGAAGGATTCTCGCTCGTCCAACGAGGAAATAATTCCCATATCGCCACCAACGCAATGCGGTTATGACGTAAACCTGTGTTCCCTCGGAGTAGGAAAGACACCACCGTACACGAATGGCCTACGTCTCAACTCGTACAGTAATAGTTCCCCGTCAACTTATAGCACAGCACGTATCAAGCTCAGTCGGCCTCTCATTACAGATCTAGCCATCCCACTGTGTCCAAATCGCATACATCTGAAGAAGACTCTTCACACGCGTGCTACAAAATGCAAGCCGTGACCTTTGGGAAATCGATTGGGCTAGAAGCCTCCTGAACAGCTCGGAGCCTCATTATGTTCTTAGCTCGAGGCCCAAAGCGAACTGTATTACGTCAAAACATATCGCCGCTATCGAGAGAATGAACAAACAGCAGACGACTCTCGCTTGAGAACCGTTACATCGCTTACGTCACATCCTACACACGGGACCGATAGCAGACGATAGATGTGAGGAGCAGACGTGACGGTTTTGTCAACAGACGACATACCGTTCGTACTATATGAAGGTGGATATAAAACTAGAAACGGGAATAATGAAACGGAATGGGATCGCATCGTTGGATGGATATAATGATTAACCAATATTAATTATTCACAAAAAGATCAAAACTCGTCATACCATGCCAAGATAATTACGATCATAGGAAAATGTGATTTAAATTGCAAATAAATATTTATTACATGTTATTGATACACCGTATTACGAGTTTTCTGTCAGCTCGGTATGTTGTTGAAACGTGTTCCAGGATTTGGTTATAACACGGATATAAAGATATATAAACACAACACGACAAAGTAAGGATTCAAATCCGGGAATATTACTAGAGGGAAAACGGCAAATGCATAGATTTACGTTATAAAGTCACGTAGATTTTGAACACCGGGTGTTCGCCATTACGACCGAGCATCAAGCCACACTGTCACCCAAACCCTGATAAATAAGTATGATGATATATCCACACCCTCAACTCACAATATTAAATAACTGCCAGTGATGACAAACTGTATTTAAACTTAATGTGAGCTCCGTGTCAATTAAACCACCGTTCTGTAAATATTCTCACTAGGCCATACATAATATTGTTTATTGAGCTCAATGTTACTGTTTACATGACACAGAATGTACGCGGGTTTAGAGATGACATCAGACACTATTAATAACCTCTCCCGCTATCCCCAAGCTAAATACCTCAACGCACCACATATCATACACACTCGTGTCCTCAAACCACTCAATACAAGCCCAGTAAATATCAAGTCTACCTCCGCTCCTACAGCTAGGAAATGTCGACAATGTTGACGCGTTCTAGGGCGAGGACATATACACGACCGTCTCCCACCAAAACACAAACATAAACCACAACACAGTGGTTCTAAAAGGAAAATGAACGATCACTCGTAAGAAACAGTCATTCGCCTCACCTGCTTCAAACACCATTGGGAGTGTGTTATCGGTGTGACACGGCGCGAGAGAATGCGTGGTGTGCCTTACCGCGCGTGATAAGTAAGCAACTGAGTCTAGTCTACCAACAATACACACCACGCTGTAATCTTTCTGCCGCGTCGTTTCCGTTTGAGAAGTCAGCGAGCGTCCCACATTCCCGCAGCCACTCGAGGCGCAGGTTCGCCCGCATATGTATATTTCATATGTCTGGTGTTTTAATTGATTAACGCCCGGCGGAATACCATGCGATACTGTTATGAACGCGATGCGTGGAAATATCATCAATATATCGATGTGGGCTTTATACGAATACTTTGTCCCTGAATCGATGGTAAATTAAACAACTGAATTTATGAGTTGTTATGTTGTCAGTATTGTTTCGAGAATGTAGGTTTGTTAAAAAGGACGTAGGTTTAGCTAGCTAGTGACTGGTAGCCATTCTTACAAACACACTATATCCGTTTGTGCGCGCGCGCGCGTGTGTGTGTGTGTCCTACAAAATACGGATATGTTATGAATATATCGATGCTTTTGTCTGTGAGCGTAAACAGACAATAATTACGAATAAACACAAGGAAGTGTTTAGACAATCCCCATGTTTATACCGTCAATGTGCATGTTTCGACAGTCTCGTTTTGATTACGCATACATATGCGTACATACCGCTCAAAATAAGCCAAGGACATCCGGGTTATCCAAGACCACAGGTAATCTGACATTACCTGCCCGATAAGTTCTGTTATCATTAAAAGTATTCTTCAAGTTCTTAGAGCATAGCATACATGAAATAATGTCAAATGCCGTATTTATTTATTTAGTGAGTTTATGGTTTTATGCCGATTTTAGCAATACTAACGCACTCATGCGGCAGGGTCACCTCTATGGGAATCGAACCAGCATCATCGGTGTCACAAGCTAACGCTACACCCATTTGGCTACCCAACGACACCCCCCAACCCTTTTCTTTGTTAGGGGACAGATATTCGCAGTAATACTAAGTACCCTCCGACATCTTCTACCTTCCAATACCGTTATTTACAAACTTGGTAATAATAAACGTTACCAGTAATGAATGGGTCGGACTCTCCAAAGTCCGAACGGTTGTCTTAAATTTCCCACGTTCGATTCCGTGGTTGACTGGATTCTTATCCGACTCAGTCACAGTGGGTGAGTGGCGGTCGGGTAGCCTAGTGGTTAAAGCGTTCGCCGTGACGCCGAAGACCCGGGTTTGATTCCCCACATCGGTACACTTTGTGAAGCTCATTTCTGGTGTGCCCCGCCGTGATATTGCTGGAATATTTCTAAAAGCAGCGTACAACAAAACTCACTCACTCACACACACAGGGTGTGATGTTTTTGTTTGTTTTCTGGCGCCTCACTCAGAAATAGTTCAGCTTTATATCGGCGGTGTTCTGTATACTCGAGTATCGACCAAAGAATCCAGTGGTCTACATCATGAGCATCGATCCAAGCAATTGCAATGACATGTGTCAACCACTTCAGCAATCAACCAAGTCAGCAATCAACCAAGTCAGCAATTCAGCAATCAACCAAGTCAGCAATCAACCAAGTCAGCAATTCAGCAATCAACCAACCAAGTCAGCAATTCAGCAATCAACCAAGTCAGCAATTCAGCAATCAACCAAGTCAGCAATCAACCAAGTCAGCAATCAACCAAGTCAAGCAATTCAGCAATTCAGCAATCAACCAAGTCAGCAATCAACCAAGTCAGCAATCAGCCAAGTCAGTAATCAACCAAGTCAGATCTCGTCAGTCGCCTCTTAAGACAAGCACGAGTTGTTGAAGGCTAATTCTAACCCGGATCTTTCAGGGTAATCTGGAGAAGAACCCGGATGAATTATTTGCAACCGGCTATCCCATCTCGAAGTCGACATAACCTCGCTGCTGGTGTCGATGGCCAACAAATGTTTATAAATCCCGGCGATGTATTTACGTGTGTACTAAAAACAACATTGTTACATAATTGAGAAAATCTCCAGATTATCTTCGGATAACTAAAATCCGACTTTGGCAACGTATCAAATTAATCCACGTAAGGTAAACAGTTTTGCAAGTCATTATAGTGTTACTTCATTTTGTGGATATAACAACAATACTTTCAGCTCCGGGCATAACGAACCCAGGATGTAAAGAGTATACGTTTAGCAGCGGATGTAACGAATATGTATCTACATTCATTGGATTTTACGCTACGCGGAAATGTTAAAAATAAATAATAAATAATGCGTCCAGTCAAGTTCACTGTAACATATTCTTGATAAGACAAACAAATAAACGGATAAAAGAAAAAAACTTCGGATACAGCGAATATGTTTAAACAAATGACAAAACGAACTCTGTCTGCCGTAAAATTAACTTCTTGTATAAGAGCACAGAAACGTTGCAACAGCCATAAGAACATTTGTTGGCGCATCTAGTTTAGTAGACTAAGGCTTAGTCTCTGAATATATATAATTTTGATAGTAACAAACAAGCCCATTTATATTGAAAAGGAGCCCTAAAGAGACCAGAGATTCAGAACCTGAGGAAATCTAGACTTGCTTTATTTAGGGCTTTAGCACTGCAGAGAGGGCTTGGCAGTAGGGAAATTAATGTGGTTCAGGGACTGTGAGACAGACTACTAGTTTAGGTGCAAGTACCGTTATATATTTGGATGGCAAGTGTTTCAACGTCAACGTTAAGCTGCCTCCGGTGTCACAAACACCCTCTGTATCCTGTGAAGCATCCTGAGTCTTATTGCACACATTATCACAAGTGTAGCTATACCAGTGGGACAACCAGCCCTTCGTTACATTTACTTCCGCGTTCAACCATACTGCAACACGGCGTTTCGCGAGGATGCATAGAACTAGGCCTGGCTAAATAGATCGTCAACGATTATCGATCCCTATGATCTATATCGATAGCCAGCCCTGCATAGTACATGCATGTTTAGCATCGCTGCCACGTGGGCGACGATCGCCGACCAGTCGCGTAGAGACGCGAGTTTTTCACACTTCGTCGATAAAGGATCTACATGTAGTTTCTAGATGGTGAGAAAGTTTCATTTTCGGATGTAATCTGAGTTTGTCATATTTGTGTATTACAGTTTAGTCGTTCTAGCTAAGTTGGATGGGTATAGGGTGTGTGTGATTTCATGTGACACTATTCGCAGATTTACGTCCCTTTCATGTATCAGGATCCGCTTATCACAGGTTCGTGTCTCGCAGGTTTCGTCAAAACTGAGTCTTCATCCTGCTTAGTTGTCTTCCTCATCATCAAGGTGACAATCTGCTATAACTTGAAGGATTCAAGTGAGTATGGTTTTACGCCGCTATAACTCATATTCCAGCAATATCACGGCGGGGGACACCAAAAGCAGTCTTCACACATTGTACCCGTTTGGGGAATCGAACCTAGGTCTTCAGCGGACGCTTTAGCCTTTAGGCTACCCCAACGCCCCTGAAGGACACAAACTCAATTAATGTTTAAAAAAACGTTACGGTAAACCGGTGTCATTATAACTCTTGCGAATATATATAATGGGCATTAGACGTGCGCTGTCGTTATCTGATGCGTTGTCAAACATCTTTTGAGAATAAACTTCCCACGACCAAAAGGACCATAAAATCATATCCACTCCTGTGTGTTAGTAGGATTGCATTGTCTGGCTGTACGTGATGCATGACTAGGTCTGGTTAACAGGTAATTATGTAATGAAATGTACTCATGGCTTCTCGAGAAAGTACGTGTGCGCTATTAAGAAGCGCACCCAGCACATAAATCAACCCCGGATGAATGGTTCATACAGCATGCATGAGCGAGTGAGTGGGTGAGTTTAGTTTTTACGCCGCACTCAGCAATATTCCATCTATATGGCGGCGGTCTGTAAATAATCGAGTCTGGACCAGACAATCCAGTGATCAACAGCATGAACATCGACCTACGCAATTGGGAACCGATGACATGTGTCAACCAAG